GACATGATTTGGTTATTGGTTTGAGTTCCGGTGATGGTAAGTTGTTTACTTCATTTTCAGCTGCATTTATCTCCTTCTCGAATGTACATGTTGTCTGAATGCTAAACATTTGTATTATTGTAGTCTACTCAGTATCTCTCAGACAACAATTACAGGATATTGGGAAGAAACTTGTAGGGGCACAACATCATAACAAAGATGGTTCTGTCACTAACAGGCAAGATTATCATTTTGCTTTCTAATATTTCTTATTTGCTTATGGCAATTCCATTAGATTGTTAATTAACTCAATCAGGATGCAAAGGATGCAGAGAACTGTTAAATTGGTGAAATACTATGTAACTAATTTTGACAGAAGAGACAGTGTGCCTGCAGCACTTGTGCAAATCTTTCTCTTTGATGCCTGGTTGTAACCAGAGGAATTTGGACAGTTTTTATGCTGAGAGTGTGATAGGGTCCGTTTTTTTATACCAGTAGTTAAATGAATATATTGATCAGTGAATGTGATTTGTACCATATACTGCCTAACTCTTTGAGGACTTTTAAACAAGAATCTTAAAAAATTATTTCTGTCCACCTGCTCTCTTCAGTGATGTGGAAGTTTAATCATGCAAAGTATTATCTGATGGAATTATTCTTGCTTTTCTGATTGTTTCCTGTTTCTTCAAAATTTTCACAGCCTATTTTATCATTTTGTGTGTAATCTCTCGGTTAATGTGGTTTTCTGAATACGTTGATGCTGCTATATGTCAAATTATAATTATGTTTATTATGTAACAGAAGGTGCACATGTATGGTAATTCATTAGCCTATCTTCTTTTTTGACAGTCGTTGTACTAGTATTGCATGGGTGCCTGGAGGTGATGGTGCTTTCGTTGTTGCTCATGCTGATGGGAATCTTTATGTGTATGAAAAGGCAAGCATCAATTGTTAGAAGAGAAGGACATCTCCATTGATGTCTTATTTTAGCTTGCTGTTTCCAGTGTTCACTGTCCTAATTCCTAAACTTTTTCTAGAACAAGGATGGTGCTGGAGATACTTCTTTCCCCTTGATCAAGGATCAGGCCCTGTTTTCTGTTTCACATGCACGGTACAGCAAGGTATACTAGAATATTATTCTGGAGCTGGTTCTAGCAATATGAAACTAGAGTTCGCCACGAAATCCCCAACCACTGTTTGTTATCTATTGTTGCTGTTACTATGTTATGATGATGCCTGATCAAGTAGTAACCGAAAACTAAAATGTTTGGGGGGATTTCTTGTGCTGTTACATAATTTGTTAGGCAGAGTTTATACCCTGGGGTCTTGTGTTTGCCTTAGTAGCACACATGAACTTAACTGAACGGATAAGTTTTCTGATTTGGTTTACCTTCTTTGTTTATTTTGTGAACTGTATGCAGAGTAACCCTATTGCCCGATGGCACATATGCCAAGGTTCAATAAATAGTATCACTTTCTCAGCAGACGGAACCCACTTAGCAACTGTTGGAAGAGATGGTATCATTTCATTTGAATTTTATTTTATTGGCTTCATTTTGCAGTAACTGTATGTAAACTGAGATTAGACATCTTCAAATGCAGGATACCTTAGAGTTTTTGATTATACAAAAGAACAACTTATTTGTGGTGGGAAGAGTTACTATGGAGCTCTACTATCTTGTGCTTGGAGGTGAAATTTTGCTGCTTTTCTGACTCATTAACCATTTTTTGGGGCACAAAAGTTATTTAATTTCACATATGTTCCTTTGAGACGAGAACTATCATCGGTTTTCCCTCTTTATTAGTTGTACATAATCTTTGTGGAGTTCTTAGGACATTGGTAACTTTTCTTTCCTTTATCCAGTGAGTGCTTCTAATAACTTGGGTATTGACAATTTTTCTTTCATCAGTATGGACGGGAAGTACATTTTGGCTGGTGGTGAAGATGATCTAGTTCAAGTTTGGAGTATGGAAGATCGGAAGGTTGTCGCATGGGGCGAGGGACATAACTCATGGGTAAGTAGGATTCTTGTGAATTCTGGGAGATTTCTGTGTGTTTTAGTACAGAATCCTGACACTCTTTGCTTGGTTTCCATGTTGTATATTTGGGGGCAGGTGAGTGGGGTGGCATTTGATTCATATTGGTCATCACCTAATGCAGATGGTACGCCTGAGACGGTAATGTACCGGTTTGGTTCTGTTGGTCAGGTACGTTTTGTGTACATAGAGAGAAACCTTTGTCATTTTCTTTATTGCAAGCTGTTTTGAATTTACTATTTGTATTAGACTATGAGTAGTGAATATTTGCAAATATTAACTTAGTAACCTTCCTCATCATGTTAGTGTTTTAACAGTAACTTTGAGAGTTCATAGATTATTTTACCTGTTTGTACTTTTCTTCACCTTTCTTCACCTTCCTCAACCTAGTCTTTCCTAAACACTACAATTCCATGGTCTCTGTGCGGCGCAGGATACACAGTTGTTGTTGTGGGACTTGGAAATGGATGAAATTGTGGTGCCATTACGAAGATGCCCTCCTGGTGGCTCCCCAACATTTAGCGCCGGCAGTCAATCATCACACTGGGACAATGTTGTCCCAGTTGGCACACTGCAACCTGCTCCATGCATGCGAGATGTTCCAAAACTATCTCCTCTTGTTGCTCACCGTGTTCATACCGAGCCACTTTCTGGGTTAATCTTCACTCAAGAGTCCGTTGTTACAGCAAGTCGAGAAGGCCACATTAAAGTATGGATGAGACCAGGAGTTGGTGAGAGTCAGTCAGCAGCGACAAACTCCGAGGCTAATTTGACAGGCAATTTGAAAGAGAAGCCCTTGTTGTCGAGCAAGAGCTCCACTGCTGGTTTCAGGCAATGACATTTTACAAGACAGTCAACACCTGCAATCCGAGACCATGTAGTGTTATTATTTTTGGGTGGATGTGAGTTTCACTCTTTGTACTGGTGCAGTTCTGCCTCCGTCTTCTTGAGCTGGTTGTTCCCTCAAAAGTTGGCGCCAGTGAGATTTGATCAGTTTGTTCTACATTTGAGGCATGAAAATATTATTGATTTCCACTTTAACGGAGCTTGGGAAGGAGAGAAAACCCAGCCTTTGTAAGTACGGACCGCTGCCGTTCCTAGGAAGGAAGATATGTATACGCAATTTAGTTACCGACAGGAAATAATTGGAAATTTTTGTGCCTTGCAGAGATCAGGGTCCATTTTCACTTCCCTTGAATTTTGGAGATGGTGAAAATATTTTGGATCATTTGGAAGATGGAAAATTTGGATGGGCTGAATCGTAGTCGGATTTGCAACTGTTTATGTATGGAATGCATGAGGGCGGGGAAATGGTCTTGTTTGACCAGACTAGATATGGTCTGCGTACATAACAAAAATCATAAATCAGATCATATACTATACGATTCATATTAGATTACGATTGTGTGTCTGATATGGTTTGGATCAGAATGACTTTTACAAAAAATTAGCTAGTAGCAAGGTTAACATGGGTGCATTTATGAATATCCAACTAGGCTAAATATAACAAATGTATTAACACAGAGACTATGAAATAACAGTAATGAACTATGTTTGCTATTATTTAACCGATGTCTTATCAATTCTTATAATTATCTAAACTAATTAGCGAAGGCAATGAACTTCAACACATGCAATTCGCATACACTAAGGCAAGTTCAAGAGAGAGAGCATTGTTCAGACTTCAAATCCCCCTAGCTAATTCATACCTCTTCAGTTGAATATATATGGACTGGGTCTGGGTGTTATCTTCTTTGATCGTAGGAATTCCAGAATTAGTATTAACCTGATTTTCTCGCGTATTAACACTCTATTAGTTGATTCAACCTAGATATGATATTCTCTTCGACCTAGATTCAATCTCCTAACGATTAACGATCTATGAATCCCCCTATTAGGTTTTAATCGAATCCAGAAGTCCCACTCCCTCCATCTTCTACAAGTTTGAGGTCCTTTTCATCTAAGAGTGTTTTATCATACCTATGAGACATTCTCCTCATTATACATATGGGACAATACATCATACAATAGGAGCACAATTATTGAATACATTAAGCGAATTGATTGTAAAAAAAAAAAATCCCAAATCGTAGATAATAAAGGCAAACACAGCTTCTCTCTCGAAATCAACGAAGGATGCCCCAATCCGCCAGCGGCCATATCAGGCCCGTATCCATAATAATAATAATAATAATAATAATAATAATAATAATAATAATAATAATGCATTATCGTCATCGTTACTTTGTTGCGTGCCGGACCCCGACAGCCCATGAGCTTCCCTTGTCAGGCTCTTAATGCCGCATCCTCCAATCACCTCGCGACACGTCTCCGCGTAGCACAACTCCGGCGCATCCCTTTTCCGCCACGTAGCCCCGTGATTCACTGTACTGAGTTCGCCCATTCCCTGGGTTATTTTACCCTTTTGTCCTTCACTGGCTTCCAAATTCCACCAGCTTCCAGGAAAGGACGCTCTCCTTTTTTTAGACTTCAGTCCCTAGATCCAGCGCTCTCAATTCATTAATCCGAGCCCTTTCTCCTTTCACTTTCGCTCCGTTTCCTGATTTTCCCATCTCAGTCCCGGTTGTTTACTGGTTTGAGTTATCTTTGTGACGATTCAATCAATTTTCCCTGTTGCCGGCGGTGCTTTAAGATAAACCATGTAAGGGGAAGGGGATGCGGAGTAGGGATCGGGGGAAGATGGGAGGGGCGTGGTTGGCGCCGTCGGGAAGAACAAAGGTTCCAAGGAGGGTGTGGTTAATCGTTCAAAAATCAATGGGTCTCCTCGTGGGTGGAAATCACACCTCCTCCAGGTTTTGCACTCGCTAAATCCTGCGCCTTCTTTTCCACTTTCTGAGTTGAATTTGTCTCCCTTCTGCTCTCTTTTGTGTTGAACATCAATCACTCAATCAATCGTTAAGCAAAGCTTTGAACTTTTGGTGACCCAAATCGCCGTTTGTTGACCAAGAAAAGAAAAGGTAGCGATGAACTTGAAGGGTCTGAGATCCCAGGCCGTTACAGAGTCTGTGGCTGAGCGCCTCTTTATGCGCTGTTTCGCGCTGGCATTGGTCCTTTCGGCAATACCCATTCTGCAGTACTGGTCTGGATCCGGTTCTATCTTCTTGGAACCCATTTGGGGTTCGCTTGACTGCGAGGAAAGCGTCAATTTGACCGCCACGGTCGTCAGGGAGCTTACGAGCAAGCAACTGTTGGATCGTAATGCAAGAGCTCTCTGTGTCGGGGAAGGATCGGCCGCTGCCGTGTATACATTGCACGAATTGGGATTCACCAACACTTCTGGTGGTGCAGATAGGCACCCATTCTTCTTGCCTCGGCAGAAGAAGTTCATGTATGAGCTTGAATTTGGTGATAATTCCTTCGACTTCGTGTTCTCAGGGGATCTGGACAAGGTTCCTGTACCTGCTAGCCTTGTCCTCGAGATTGAGCGGGTTCTTAAACCCGGAGGAGTTGCTGCTGCTCTTATCGGTGGCTCATCGAATGGTTTGGTCCATTACAACTTGGTCCGATCGGCAATGCCCATTTCCTCACTGCTGAAAACCTCCAGCGTTGCTCATGTCGGTTACCTCAGTGGCGGCTATACCCTGGTTGTCTTCAAGAAGAGATTCTATCCCGCCGATTACTTCGAGCATGTCAGCCTGCCGTCAGAATGTCATTCCGTTGTCAACAACGGCCAGTTCATGGAGTTGCTCGAATCGGTTTCGGAGACCAAACCAGTTGGATTCGAGGAAAAGATTGTGTATTTGCCGAAGCTCGTGGATGTCTCCGCAAGGACTCGTATGGTGTATGTCGATATTGGCGTCGGGGAGCATCTGAAATTGAACTCTAATGTTGCAACTTGGTATTTGCCGGCTTATCCAGTTGATCACAAGTCGTTCAATGTCTATCTTGTTGATCACAACACCTCGGTTCTGCATTCGTTCGTGAAGAGGCCCGGTGTTACTTTCGTTTACCATCCAGGCCTAGCTGGAGACAAGGTGGAGGACCAAGTCCTCGGCATTGAGGACTTGGATCCATTCATCGAGGATCAAGGCTTTGATTTCGTTGCGTGGTTCGAGGAAACTGTCAAGTACGCTGATTTCGTGGTGATGAGGTTGAATGCAGGTGGTGAGGTCGAGCTGAAGTTCCTCGTTGAGCTGTTCAGGAGTGGAGCGATATGTGCTGTTGACGAGCTGTTCCTGAACTGTTCTGGAAAAGGTTTGGGGAATGGGGAATGTGGTAGCCTCGTCAGGAGTCTTCGAGCAAGTGGTGTGTTCGTCCATCAATGGTGGTGAGAGCCTAAATCTGCCATGGCTGATTGATTGATGGACGATGAAGATTGTAAGCCTTTTGTCATTGTTGTGTTGTGTACCGTACCAAAAAGGATGCTATTAAGTCGTCCATGTTGTTGTTGTCGCCTTTTATGGTTGAGGCAGTTCTAAATAAGCAACCATTCCGTGTGTCTTTCCACCGAGTGGAAAGTGTTTGTTGTGTTTGGATTACACCATTCCGGAGTAGTTGAACGCTCATGTGTGTTTTCGTTCGGTGTATAATAAATTGTTGTCGACATTAGTGTCAAATGTCATGAGACTATTTTATGATGTATTTGCAAAATTATTATTTAAAGGATTTGTGAGTTGTGAGTCTTGTGACATGTAAGATAGGTATGGTAATGGGTGGGGTGTAGGGATGGCAACAAAACCCACGGGTACCCACCCGACTCAATCTTGTCAACGCGGGTAAAACTCATGTTGACGGGTTTTGGGCTGGGTTCGGGTTTAAACCCGCTACACTATTCGTCGGGTCGGGTTGGGTTTGAGTTTAGGTCAACCCGCCAATACACATATAATTACTTTCCCGATATATTTAATATTCTAAAAACAATATTTTCCTTAAACAACTAATATTCTTTATGTTTGTGGAGACATGTATAATTTGTTCTTTCTAATTGTTTAGAATGAAATTGATATGATGAAGTGGAGAGTGAAGAAACTTAGTTGACGAGAAAGAAGCTTTTAATTAATCTTATTGTTTATAGATATTTATCTTTAATTTTGAACAATTTGTATTGATCATTTGCGGTTTGCTTGTATGCTCTAGATTGGTGTTTTTTGTATGATTAATTTGTATGAGAAAATTGATGTTAAACTTTTATTTTGAAAGAAACTTGTTATTGTAAAATTTTTACCACAAAAACCCACGGGTACCCATGAACTCGCGGATACCCAGCGGGTTGGGTTGGGTAAGGTTTGAGTTTTTCAAACCCAACGGGTATTACCCCGAGTTTTTTTGGCGGATAAACCCATGGGTTTGAGTTTGGGTTTGACAAAATCCGCCCAACCCGCCCCATGCCATCCCTAGTGGGGTGGGGTGGGGTGGGTTTGGGCAGCTTTACTTGAACCATTCTTATTTTCTGAATATCGAAACTCATATTTGTCTAATGCTCATGTTTGGGAAGGTTTTGCATGCCCAAATTCATACTCGAGTACCCATAAGTAATACCAATCCGTGCATCCAATATGATTATATCTAAAATTCAATACGAAGATCTTTAATTATAACACTAAACAAGTTGATAAATCATGAAATCAGCAAAGACACAATAATTTTTATATGAATTTAACGCATTCATTTCTAAAACATTCGTAATTCATAAGAAAAACTAAAATATTATTTAAATAATTTATTTACGATTCGACACATTTATCAAGCAATAAATAATTAGCCCAATCTTGTTGAAAGGGATAAAGAAAAAAAAAGGTGTGAAGGGAGGATTGGAGGTATGGAGGGTCTGACGATCTCGTAATTGAGTTGTTTTTTAGGGTAAACAATTTGGGATCTTTGCCTTGATGTGTCAATTTAATCAGCAGTATGAAGAGTGCGTAAGTTTGCCGATGGACCGAGTACTTCAATCTTTCATCTTTTTGATACATCAATTGAGTCCTGGGGGGACTAATTTGGCTGTTTGTATGTGGGATAGGGCTACAAGGAGTGAGTCTCATTCGGCAGGCGGGATGGTTATTATGAACCAAGCTAGGGAAATCCTTTTGGCTAATGGGGTTCAGTTTCCGTTGAATGATAAGCCTTAAAGCCTATGGTGGTCGAGTTGCTCGTGCTCCGGGAGGGTACTTTATAGTGTCTGGTTCACGGCTTCACAGAGATGAGGTTTGAAGGAGATGTCAAAGTGATCGTCAAGAAGGTCAATTGGGTGGATACCATTTTAATTCTTTATTTTTTTCTGAATTACTTTTTTTATCATTTTTTTTTTACAAAACTTTTTTTTATCATTGAGTACTCACAGTTGCGAAGTTTGATTGCTATCCCTATGAGATCGGTTTTAAGAATATATTCTCAAGTACTTCTTACCTGAATAATCTAAATACTAAAAATTGAGATCATATAATGCATACCATTGCACATTAATCCGATATCTATTATTGAGAATGAGATGAAGCATAGTTTGGTTCAGTAATCTACAGTTACACACTGAAAACATTTTAATATATTTTAAAACAAAAATAATTAAATATCAATGAAAACATTTTTATACCATCATGGTGGCTAAAATGGAAGGTACATGATGGCAGGAATATTAAGAATGTTGGTTGACTCACTTAAATCGACACAACTAAACATCGACAAAGTATAACTGTAATCTAGCAATGCAGTATAGAATTCAGGTTCTAAATATCAACCCTGGTCTTAGGTTTACTGGTTACTCTGTGCAATTCTATTATCTAGCGATGGAAGTCGGATAAAGTTACTTGAAATTTCATATAAATTGCATACTCATTGTATCGACCTACCCGACTAGCGACCCGTAATAAATTACCCGCCCTACCACAGGGCGGGTCATTGTATAAAAAAACCCGCCCCGCACCTGCACATTACCATTCCTAGGTCCTACACTCGCATATAAGGTAAACCAGACTCTGCGTAAGGGTGTGTTTCCTGGCCAAAGTGCCAAACAAACTTGTAAGTTGTAACTAAGCTACACCCAACTGCTATGTAGAAGCCATTACTGGCTTAACATATTTCAGATCCAAATGCCAATTGCTTAATACTTGGTCTCTCAATCAATCTTCTCTTATTAGAATGCCAGCAAACCAAAACACACCCGAAACACAGAAAATTATGCCCTTGACCTGGAGAAGCGAAAACAATACCGTAATACTATACAACAAACAGATAAAAACACTTCAGCAGCTACTGCTGCTTCCTTGCTTTGGGCAGGCACCTATTCATCTGTGCCATTATTAACCTTAATCTCTAAAAGCCGCTCGACTGGTTGTCTACAGATCGGGCAACGATTCGTTTGGAACCTCAACACCTTGGCACAACCGCTGCACATGCACTGCAAAGACACACGATTATCAACGTCAAGCATGGCCTCATTTCAACAAGCATAACAATGCATTTTGTGACAAGTGACGACTGGATTATCTAAGTTTTGCTAGGATATACAGAGATCACCAGAAAACAATTAACCAAACAGTTGATTCAGCAAAATAAAATTAAGAATGCTGTGTCAAGGGAAGGAATTCAACTTACCATGTGTCGGCAAGGAAGAACAGTAGTATCACGTGGTTCCGAGAGGCAAATGACACATTCTTTACCAGGGTCATTTGCATCGGCATCACCATCAACTGTGTTTCCAATCCCGTATATCTCCTGCAGCTCATAACGCATCCCGTTCACCCACAGAATCTGCTTCACTACCCTGACTTGGTACTCGCCTTTCTCCTTCTCAAACACCGCCTGAGTTATCTGAGAATTAGAGATCCCAGGCGTTTGATTCCCATCTGGCCCACTCTGGCTGGCGGGCATTGCCTCTGCCTTCACCACAAGCGGATAAATGTCCATTTCACCTTCCACCTTGCGCAGCTCCCGTTCCTCAAACTTTGAGAAGTCGATCCCTGTTCCAGATGGCTGCCGGAACTTTTGCCCCAGACCATGCTGGAAACTAACTGTCACCGATGGGAAAAGATCTTCCTTTGTTGGTGTCAGGACACAGTTATCACCTTCCTTTGCAAAGAATATAATGGTGATGCTGCTTGCACAAGCAACACAAACGTGAGTGACCAAGTAACCAGAAATATGATCCATAAATATTCAGGTTGTTGCCTCTGATGCAAAGAACAGAGGACTTGAAATCCAAATATCCAACACACGAATATCTTATTCTACAAAAAGAACTCATAGCAAACATTCGCCAACAATTCTGCAGCAAACCAAAAATCCATTGTACCAACAGCAACAATTGTGCCAGTAGCAGTACCCTAAAGTACAAAGAGTTCAGCTTGGTTTCACCCTATTTAAACAATTCAGGCATCAACCATAATCTAATTGTGTTTTCAGATACAAGGAGAGAAAAAAAATTCAACAACAATAGCTTCCGGTCATCACCATTCCTGTTCATCTACTATTATCAGTCATCAATTACCGATATATTTATCCATAGAACACACGACGAGGATAATTTCCACTCTAAAAATAATCATTTTCAGAAGGAATCCCCACATAAACTCCAGCTTAATATGTAGGGCGCCTCTGTCCCATTCATTCAATGGCGCATCATACAAGTTCGTACCAGTGAGAAGATCTCCCAAGTCAACAATATCCCCAGAAAAGCAAACAAATCTAGGCAGACCAATTAAACACACAAGAAATCCATTCACCCATCTTTACCTTCCAGCAACAGTAGCATCGAAAGTGAAGGAAACCAGAGACATCCCTGGATTCTCCTCATCGGGCTCCAGCTTCAGCGTTTCCTTCTTCAAATTGACGTCGTTGCGAATCGTGACGGCCTTCTGGTGCTCGACATAAGGCGCCGGGGGCTGCACCATGGGCCCGCAGGGGTACCTCCCGCCGACCCAGTGGGCGTGGTCGGGGCGGTGGTGGTGATCGTACGGCGCCGGCAGCGGGAGGGGCATGGCGGGAGGTGGCGGCGGGTAGTAGCCCGGGTACTGGTGGTAGTACGAGGGAGGAGGCGGAGGGTGAGGGTGAGGAGGTGGAGGCGGTGGAGCGTTCGGATTCGGCGAGGGTGGGTAAGGCGTGGCGGCGGCGAATACGTATCGGTTGGCGCTGATCTCCGGCTGCGGCGTGGCGGGAGGAGGCGGCTGTGGGGGAGGGTGGCTCCGCCGGCTACCGTGCCTCCGCCGGCCGTTCACGCCGCTGCTGCTGATGTTGCCCATGACTCAGAGAGAGAATTGGGCGGATCTAGAAAGTTTGAGGAGGGTGGGGTGGGTGGAGCTAAGCTATTATTGGGTTTCTTTGCCGGCGGAAGCGGTGGCGG